TTCTTATTGTTTTATGATCCCTTTAATTTTTTGGTGGGGGACAGAGAAAACAGCACATAATAAATACATACATAGAGTTCTAGTATCAGAACAATATAAAAAAAGTGGAATATCACACATGCTTATGTCATGCCTCCAGCTTTCTTCATTGTCTTTTTCCTGTCTGTACTTAATGTAGATAATAATTTTCATTTGCTTCTTTATATAAACATACACAAAAAGCAAATATTTTCTTAATTTTCCCTTACATGAAATATACCATACTGTATTTGTGTGTCTTACTTTTTTTAAAAAACCGGCATGTCTTGGGGATCTCTGATTTTGTGCAGCGCTTCCTCATTCTTTCTCAGTGCTGCTTAGGAGAGATCTATAGAAGGGACTTATTTATCTAGTTAACTAGACTCTTCTTGATACTGGGTACTTGGATTGCCTTTTGCTGTTCACTTGAAATTAGTATACAGTGCCTTTCTTTCTTACATCATCAACTTATTTCCTCCCTCTGGGTTATTCCCATAAAGATGCAAAATGTTATTATATCTCCCATCCTAAAATGAAAAACAAAAGCCCTGATTCCACTAATCTCCAACTGCTATCTTGTTTCTCTGTTTTATAACAAAATTTGTTGAGAAGGTTGTCCACATTGTCTTCAATGTCTCTTGAACCCATTCCAGTTGGGTTTGCTCCACTACTCAACTAAAGCTGCTCTTGTGAAAGTCAGCATTGAGCTCCATGTGTAAGAACCGGAGGATATTTTTTGGTCCTCATATTAACATTCACGTGACTTTCAGGAGATTATATGCTTCTAAATTCTCCCAACCTTTTTGGCTGCTCTTTTTTCAGTCTTTTTGCCAGTTCCTCTTTATTTTAATGACTGTTCAATTTGGGGAGACCCCAGAACTCAGTTGTTGGTCTTTGCTTTTCTATCTATGCTATTGTCTTTAGGTACCATTGTGTCTATTCCAATCCATACCGACCTTAATGTCCAACAGAACTAAAGACTGCCTGGTACTGCATCATCCTCACAATTGCTGCTACTATTGAGCCCATTCAGCTGACTGGAAGAGATCCATATGTGCCCATTCCAAAGAGAGGTAACCCATCGGAATGCGGAAATTGTCGAACATCATCATTAATAGCTCATGCAAGTAAAATTTTGCTAAAGATAATACAAAAATGGCTACAACCATACATTGACAGAGACCTTCCAGAGGTACAAGCCAGATTCAGAAGAGGGTGTGGAATAAGGGATATCATTGCTGATGTCAGGTGAATCTTGACTGAAGCAGAGAATACCAGAAAGATACCTGTGCTTTATCGACTACAACATTGCAAAGTACGAACATTCCGGAACACTTAATTGTGCTGCACGTAGACTAAGAGGCAATTGTTCAAACAGAACAAGGGAACACTGAATTGTTTAAAATTAGGAAAGATGTGCGCCAGGGTTGTGCTCATTCACCATACTTATTCAATCTGAATGCTGAGCAAATCAAGAAACTGGATTATATGAAGAAAAAAAAAAATCAGGATGGAATCTCAGCTCACTAATGCCTAGGATATTGATGTTTATGTGTTCCATTTCATTTTTTATAACTTTTAATTTTTCTAGATTCATATTTGCACATTCCATGTTCCTATTGTTAGTGGATGTTTGCAGCTGCTTCTCATTTTGAGTTGTGCCTGATCAGCAAATGAAGGTCCTAAAAGCTTTACTCCAAGTTGTTTCATTGCTGTCAACTCTGCTTTAAGGAGCCAGCTCTTCCCTATTCGTATTTTTTGTTTTTTTTTAATTTTTATTGTGAATTATATGATAGTTTATATGGCAGAACATTAGTTTTACATTCATTCTGTCATATATCACTTCATTGCCATGGTTATAATCCCCTCCAAGTATCATCAGCCAACCAAAGGGTATACCCTTCAAGCCTGCCCCCCTACATTACCCCCCCACCCCAGTCTTCAGCACACAGTAGCTCTCCCTCTCTGGATCTAAAGTCTCCAGCTGCTCCATCACTCCGTGTCATCGTCTCTGCCTCCATCTCAGTCATCACTGCTTCTCTGGGTAGGGTCCCGCTCTCTGCTCTTCTCCGTTGATGGTCCCAGGGACCTCCGCTCCTAGATTGGAAAGCTTCCCTATTCGTATTTTGAATGAATTCCAACCTGAGGATATATCCAATAATATTCTGGTGCTTTTCATCATGTTTCAGCATTCAATATTCTGGTGCTGACAGTGTTTCACTGCTATTCATAAGGTTTTCAGTGACTAAACATTTGGAAATGGCCTGCCTCTCCCTCTTCCGAGTCTTAGTATAGAATATCAGCTGAAACTTGTCCACTGTGGTAGATGCTGCCAGCATTCAAAATTTCGGTGGTATAGCTTCCAGCATCACAGCCACTTGCAAGCCATCACATTGTGACAAACTGACAGAAAAATGACTTCTGTCTATGTTGTTGTTGTCAGGTGTGGTCGAGTTTTATTCTGACACATAGTGACCCTGTATAGGGTTTCTAAGGAGTAGCTGGTGAGCTTAAACTGCTGGCTTTGCGGTTCAAACCAACTTGGCAGTCCAGCACATTCTCCCACAGCGCCACACCAGGACTCCTTCGATCTATGGTGGTTGATGGTTATGTGCTGGTTCCAACTCATAGTGATCCTGTGTAGCGTTTCCAAGGCAGTAAATCTTTATGGGAGCAGAAGGCATTTTTTTTCTCCCTTGGAACCACTGGTAGTTTCGAACTGCTGACCTTGAGATTAGCATTCCTAAATAATTTCACCTACTTGCATTGTTTTAATTAGTGCAGTATACTGATGACTCCCAAATTTACATCTCCAGCCTGGATACCATCCCTGAACTACATGTGATGCAGATCCAACTATATATCTGTATGTCTAAGAGGCATCTCAAATTTCATATATTTGCTACCAAGCCAATTCCCAATGTGTGGTCTTCATCTCAGGTACTTACACCTCTATTTTCCTGTCTTTTACTCATGTCCCATATCTGATCCTTTAGCAAATTCTGTGATAATCAGTCCAGAATTCTCTCACTTCTTATAAGCTTACTTTCACACACACCCAAATCACCATTCTCTCTTATATGTCTTTTTGTAATAGCATCTTAATCTGAGCCTCTTGCTTCTGTCCTTGCTAGAGTGGTCCTATTAAAATTTTACTCTGCTTATAACCCTCTAGTGACAGTCTGTCTCCTCCACTGCCTGCTCTGACATGGAGGAACTTGTTATTTCTCTCCCCTCATTTACTGTGTTCCCATGCCTCCATCTCTTTTAGAGTCTTCAATATATAGGCCTTCCTCCTCATCTTCAAACACAAGTAAGCACCTCTCATGGGACCTTTGCACTCAGTTCCTTTAGATCTTGACTCAAGTCACCTCAGTGTACCCTTCCATGGCAAAGCCTATGTACTTTTGAACCCCTCCCAATCTCTGCCCCTTCATTTCATGTCCTGTTCTTCTGTTCTAACTCTTCTCCTTGGCACTCATCACTATGTAACGTTGAAGAGCAAAGATGTCAGTGTGAGGACTAAAGTGTGCTTGACTCAAGCCACGGTATTTTCAATAGCATGTTAAAGTTAAACAGTGAGTAAGGAAGACAGTGCATTTTACTTATGGTATTGGAGAAAAGTATTGAAAGTACTATGGACTGCCTGAAGAACAAACAAATCTGTGTTGGAAGAAGTACTTCAGAATTCTCCTTAGGATCCAGAAGACTTTGCTTCTCATACTTCGGACGTATCAGGCAGGACCACTTCCTGAAGAAGGATATCATGCCTCAGTGAGAAGTAGAAGCCTCCCAATGAGATGGATTGGCATAATGGCAACAACAATGGGCTCGAGACTGGACAGGGCTTCGTTCTGTTGCAAGTAGGATTGTTGTGAGTTGCAACCAACTTGATTGCAGGTAACAATGAGTCAGAACTGACTTGATGGTACTTAACAACAACCATCAACAACATGCTTTTAAAAGAATTTGAATGTTTTCCTTCTTTTTCTATGCTCTAGAAAAGTGATATAATATTGAAATTTTTTTTGATTAAAAATTAGTAGAAGTATTTTCTGAGCCATATGGACCTGGGAATTTTTTGAAGTGGTCACGGTAGCTCTTTGCCAACTTTATTCTGTAGGTGTTTGTCTGCTTAGATTTCTTTCTCTAGTTCCTAATCAATTTTGTTAGGATTAGGAAAGAGGTGTCTTGCTATAACTTGGTAAGGGTAGAACTGTAGGCTCCACATTTGGCCTTTGTACCTTTGTCGAAATTTAAATGACTAAATAGTCTATTTTTAGACTCTATTCTATGCCACTAAATTATTTTCCTGTTTTTATGCTAATACCTCACTGTCTTCATTACTGTAACCCTCTAACTTTGGTTTTTTCATTTTTTCTTAGTCATTTTGACTACTCTAGGTCCTTTGTATTTCCATATGAGTTTAAAAATCAGCTTGTCAATTCTACCGTGTTCTCCTTCAGGCTGGCCTTGTTTTGAATCCTGATAACGAAGTTTACCACTGTACTAGAAAAACATGGTTGTGTGTTATCTAATTTTTTGGTCTTTATTCAATAATTAAAACATGCTTGTTTCAGAAAATTTAAAATATAGATACACAGAAATTTAAAAGATACTGTTCATGTCATCCAGCTATGGAATCAAAAAGGCCATTTTGAAATATATAATCTGTAGCTATGAATGTATATGGATATGTACTTGTTGTGTATTTATTCCTATTTATAGAACTGAAGAAACTCTTCCAGAAGAAAGTTGAGAAGGTTTGATGTGAAAATATTAGTGGTTGTTTTGGGGTCACTTGATTAAGGTTGAACTGTTTTAACCTTTGCAGCACATTATTCTTATAAAACAATAGTAGAAAAATTTGTTTTATTACTATTGTCATTCTTATATAATTTAACACTTAGATTAAAAAAAACGTGAATTAGATTAGAGATTTTGTTTCTTTTCAGATACTTTTCTTTGTTCTTTTCTAATAGTTCCACCAGAGCCCCTTTGTACTGCCCGTGAGCCAGGAGAAACGAGTCAGTAAACAGTGTAAGTTGATGCGACTTCCATTTGCAAGGTAATTTCTTCAGAGCTTAGTTAAATATTGACTTGTAAACTACTATCTAAATTGGACTTTGCATAGTTTTTATTTGGTCTGCTTCCTTGAAATATAGAAAAGCATTGAAAAATAACGAAATGCTTGTTAACATTGTCATGATAACAGAAATTGAAGCTGTAATCTAAAAGAATTCAGTTTTAAACTTTGAAATAACATTCAGCTGTTCCAAAAAACAATAGAGGCATAAGCAGATTCCTAGGTATATGGGTTCAGATTTCAAACATTTTCTATAACTCGAACAATGTTTGTGTATGTTGCATGATTACTGCGTTTGGGTTTTGTCAAGCGTGATAACAGTAGTGAGGTTGGCCCAGGATCGGGCAGTGTTTCGTTCTGCTGTGCATAAGGTCACTATGAGTCTGTACCGACTCGATGGCACCTAACAACAACAACAGCTTAGTTACCTAGTAAGATCTGAACGAGATGACTTTTGGGGTCTTGCTGTATACGTTTTGTATTTCTAGAATTTCCAGGAAACTTCCCCTTAATTCAGTCACCAGACTTATCAGTGGTAACCTGCCTCTCTTCCGTTCTTTCCCACCGGCCACCCATAACCTCTGGCCGCATCAGGTCATCACTGGAGTCTTCAGCTCCAAAGCTTTAAAATTAACCTTTTATAATTGTTATGTATTTTTCCTTCATCACTTGTCTGTCAGTTTGTCATACTGTGGTGGTGACTTGCATGTTACTGTGATTCTGGAACTTTAAATGTCAGCAGATTCACCCAGGGTGGACAGGTTTCAGCTGAGCATCTAGTCTAAGACAGAACTAGGAAGGAGAGGTGGATTACTTCCCAATATTTAGTCACGAAGAACTGAATAGTGGAGCACTATAAGGTCAGACAGCACCAGAATATTGAATATTAAGTCATGATGAAGAGCACCAGAATATTATCAGATACAGTGCCAGAAGATAGGCCCCTCAGGTAAGAAAGCGCTCAGAATATGAATAGGGAAGAGCTGGCTCCTCAAAGTAGAATTGACAGTGATGACACGAATGGAGTAAAGCTTTAGGGACCTTCATTTGCTGATATGGCACAACTCAAAATGAGAACATGGAATCTACAAAGTATGAATCTAGGAAAACTGAAAGTTGTCAAAAATGAAATGGAACACATAAAATCGATATCCTAGGCATTAGTGAGCTGAAATGGACAAGCTCACTTTCTGTTCATTCTAGTTTTGTAAATTTGCCTATTATACTAGTAGCACACTTTGGGCATTGTTATGGTGTTGTAGCATAAGCACTGGATTGCTAGCCACAAGATTGGTAATTCATAACCCACCAGCCGCACAGTGGAAGAAAGATGAGGCTTTCTGGTCCTGCAAAGATTGACAGCCTCGGAAACCCTTAATATAGTGTTACTATGAGTCTGGATCCATTTAATGGCACTGAGTTCTTTTTGAGTATCATGTTGTACCCAATACATTTTGCTTGCTCTGCTTCTAAAATACTAAATTTTGTTGTTTTGTAGCTCCTTTACTTACTTTCCATAAATGTCTTGGCTTTCCTTATGTAATTACCATTTCATATAAACATAAAACTCTAGCCCTCCAATATATTTCACTGTATGTGCATTTCTTTTTTTTTTCTATTGTGAATTATGTGATAGTTTACATGGGAGAACATTAGCTTTACATTCGTCCTATCGTATTTTGTTTCATTGCAATGATTACAATCCCTTCCTTGTATCACCAAACAACCAAAGTTTATACCTCACAAGTCTGCCCCCCAGCCATCAGCACAAAGACTCTCTCCCTCCCACAGTCCATAGTCCCCAGCTGCTCCATCTCTCCACGTCATCATCTCTGTCTCCATCTCTGGCGTCAGTGCTTCTCTGGATAGGGTCCTGCTCTCCACTCTTCTCCCTTGATGGACCCAGGGAACTCCGCTCCTGGACTGCAAAATCAATCACTCCCCTTCTTTTGTCATAAAACATCTACCTTTTACATTTCCAACACTGATAGTCAGTCCTGATAGCAATCATTCACTATTGAACCACAAGAGTCTTATCCCCATCTCCTTTCATCAGCCCTGTCTAGACAGGTTGGAAACCACTCAGTGGAGATTCTACCTTCCCCAACCCTCTAGAACTAGGCTCCCTCTTGAAAGCTTGTAGGCCAGTCACTCTTGCCTTTATAACCCCCTCCCCCATTTTGAGTAACCAATGTCTTAAGTTGCCCATCCCTGTCGACCTTGTGTACCGAAGGAGTGGGACTGATCATCGCTGTAAAGGTTTATTCCCTCTTTTGAGCTACTACATCCATAAGTATAGGTCAAGTTCATCAAATTGTAGCAGATTACTCTTTTTTTTCCCTTCTTTTAGTTGAGTTCTGATCATCTAGTCATTGAAGCCAGGTCAAGTGGGTACTATCTGCAAGTATGGGTGTTCTTGTGCATCTCCCCTCACTTCACATCAGCTGGATGCTTCACTCTCCCCTGTAGTTCTCTGTGACCATGTCCCTGTGTCTGGACCCAGGGGTCCCCAGGTCTTGCCATACTGATGGCCAGCCAGGTGTCAACCTGGGTTGACAGGAGTCTATTGAATGTGATCAGACTTAGCTCACAACTTCATTGCTGTTTTTCCCTCACTTCCCCTTATTGGTGACCAACGTGGTCAGCAGCAAGACCCCATGCTTGCTCCTATATTTCCCTTGAGTCTTAGTCTTGGAAAGAGGTTTGCCCTGAGGGGACCCGACCACTTGCCTTGATGTCTCCTGGATGAACAACTTGTTTGTTCATGTAGTAGTCAATCAGTCTGCCATTACTGTTTATGATTTTTCCTACTGGTCTTTCTTTCAAGAAGTGTCTTCTGTTCTTCTAATCACTCCAGACTGGTCTGCTTGTCCTTTCAAGTGGAGATTTCCCACCTCAGAAGATTCTGGATAGGGATCTGGATTCCATGCATTTCTTTTTTTTAAGTAAACTTTGGTTTGAAGTGTAACACTCATAATAGAAAAGTGCGGATTTCTTTAGATCATGGAGAATTTTCAGCAAGTGAGAGCAACTGTATAACCAATGCCCCGATCGATCATTGTCAGAACTTCAGATTTCTTCCTTATGCCCCTTTCTAATCATTATCCACTGCAAACCCAAGGCTGATTAATTTTCTTACTTTTAAACTTCATATAATGGTGGCAGCACCCTAGTGTGGCACTGTAGGATAAGCACTGGACTGCTAACCACAAGTTCAAACCCACCTGCTGTTCTCAGAAACCCTATACAGGGTCACTGTATGTTGGAACTGACTTGAGGGCACACAACAACAACTTAATAGAGTCATGAAATATGTATTTTTTTGTGTTTGACTTCTTTTGCTCATATTGTGTTATGCAGTTGCAGACAGATCACTCATTCTCATTTCGTTGTATGATTGTACCATAATCTTTTAATGCTGAACATTTAATTTAGCGAAAATTTTGGTTTATTGCAAATAGCGCTGCCATGTACAAGAAGGGGGAAATTCCATTATCTTTTAATTCCATTTTTCCACAAACTTTTTGAAGCCCCATCATATATATCTTTTGATGAATGTAAATGTGTTTTTTCTGTTGGGACTGTATCTCAAAGAATAGTTACTGAATTTATATTAAATTGGTTTTACAGAAGTTGCAAGATACTTTATTAACATAGTTGAGCCAATTTACCTTCCTACCAGCAATGTATGAGAATTCCTAGTGTTCTCTATCTTCAACAACACTTGTTAATATCTTTTTCAGTATAGCCATTTTGAGGGTATGTAGTGATATTGTATAAGGTCGGATTAAACCAAAAGATTGGTGGTTCAAACCCATCAGCTGTTCCTTGGAAACCCTGTACGGGGTCACTATGAGTTGGAACCAATTCAACTGCATTTCACAACAATGATATTATATTGAAGTTTCAATTTTCACTTATGTGATAACCAGTAAAATGCTATTTTTAGAGAAACTGAAGTTCTTTATCACACATACATGTGGCTTCATCTTTCTCCCATGGAGAGGCTGGTCGATTTGAACCGCCAGCCCTGTGGTTAGTAGCCCAGCTATGCTACCAGGGCTACGCTATGAGGAGCCTGGTGGTGTATGGGGTTATGTGTTGGGCTGTTTGAATCCACAAGATGTTCTGCAGGAGAAAGATGAGATTTTCTACTCCCATGAAGATTTAAGGCCCCAGAAACCCAGTTTGTTGTTAGATGCCATCAAATCAGTTTTGATTCATAGCCATCCTATGCACAGCAGAATGCAACACTGACTCCTAATTGGTGTTATCTTTGAGCCCATTGTAGGATAAGCACTGGGTCTTCCTCTTTTGTGCTGACCTTCCAATTTACCAAGCATGATGTTGTTCTTCACTTAGGATGATAACATGTCTGAAGTATGAAAGACAAAGTCTCATCATCCTGTCTTCTAAGGAACATTCTGACTGTATTTCTTCCACCACAGATTTGTTTGCTCTTCTGGCAGTCCATTTTATTCTGGCAGTACTTTTATTGTTCTCCAATACTGTGATTCAGATGCATCAGTTTTCTGTAGGCTGCTTTATGCACATGTATACAGGGCAGTAGGAAATACTATGTGTTGACTCAGGTGTACCTTAGTCATCAAACTGGTGTCTTTGCTCATTAACTCTATAAATTTACAGTCACTGTGATTTAGAAGTGACTTGACAGCACACAACCATGACCACCACCATGTGTGGTTAGTACTTTCGTTATCCTTTTGAAGACATCTTTACCAATTTCTAGATCACAAAGTGTTGTATGTTTTCGTCTGAAAGGTTAATTGTTTACCCTTTCACATTTAGATTTTAAGTCTGCCTGGAGTTTAGGGATTTGATATAAGGGAGGGGTCAAGATTTCTTTCTTTCTGTTGGATATGTTTGTTGTTGTTGTTGTCAGGTGCCATCGAGTCGGAACCGACTCACAGCGACCCCATGCACAGCAGAACGAAACAATGTCCGATTCTGGGCCAACCTCA